ATGATGCCCTAGAGAAAAAGCTTTTGAGTCGTTATCGTCTGGTCTGTGTTAGAGGGGAAACTTGCCAGGGAATGCAGCTTTCACAATGTGTTCACTTCTAATTCCTGGATATAACCTGGCTCAAAAATGTTCAGGAGTCCCAAGATGCCGTGTGTTTTACATACTTTTCTATTGCCGTGAAAGGAGAGTAGGGCCTGAATGGTAGAACTTCCCTGTAACTAACTCCTGCAAGTTGTTTTCTGACATCCTTTCAGGCTAAGGGTTAGGAGTCCTTCTCTCTCATCACAGGAACACACCAGAGTGGGCGTCCCTGCTGTGACAATGGAGGAGACCTCAGTTGACCCCCATTCCACTCACTCTCTGATGGTGTCAAAGCTGTGGTGCCCTCCCGGGTAGTGTGGTGGACTCACAATCACTCCTGTGAGTTTTACTTCACCATTATTCCACCCAATCCCAACCTCTGCCCCTCTAAATCCTCTTCTATGGGGGTACAGGAGATGGCACACCGAGCGCCATAAAGGTGAACCCACTTCTGATCATCTCTCACCCCCTCAAAGGAAGGCAGATGTCAGCCTATTGGTACTCTCTATTCAACTAATGGGACATGGCTGAGAATAGGTAAGGAGAGCTGTGAAATAAAACTGTGGGTGTGTGTGCACGCGCATGTAAGCGCGCTCCCAAACATGCTCACAGCACATGGGTACAGGTGCCCACAGAGGCAAGAAGAGGGAGTAGGATCCTCTAGAGTTGGAATTGCATGTGGGGGTGTGAGTGATGGGAACCAAACTCAGGTCACCTGGAAGAGAAGCACAAACAAGCTGCTAATTGCTGAGCCATCTCTCCAGCTCCTGGTGCCCACTTTTATTTTTAAAAGCTTTAGAACTTGCCGTGGTCTTGCTTAGCTATATTCCAGTATTTGAGAGAATGAGGCAGGAGGACTGTAAATTTGATGCCAGTCTGGGTGCACAGCAAGACAGCCTTTAACCCAAACCCAGGAATGTAACTCCAACTGAATGGCAGTTAAATAGTTTCACATTTAATTATTTATTTTATGTGTGTGTATATAATGTAACAAAGAAAGGCTTTTTAATTTTGCACAAAGGCAAAACAGTGTATGTGTTGGTATTTGCATGACCCAGCATGCATGTGAAGGTCAGAAGACAATTTGCAAGAGTTAGTTAGAGGGAAATCCTACCATTCAGATGCAGGGAATGGAATTCAGGTTCTCAGGCTTGGTGGGAGCTGTGAAGGCACAGGTTGTTTCTAAACACTTCTCCAGATGCTGAAATGGACAGCCTTAGTTGGTGTTTTCTTTGAGCCAGGGTCCTACTAAGTAGCTCTAACTGGTCTTGAACTCTCTTTGTAGTATAGACTAGCCTTGAGGTCACAAAGACCCACCTGCCTCTGCCTCCTGAGGGTTGGATCAAGATGGCAGTTCTAATGATCTATCTGACACAGAGGACCTCCCATGTTGCACTGGAGTCTAGGGGTAGAAAAGAGTGAGAAAAGAGTTTAACATTACCTTTAACTTGTTTATTTTGCTTTTTAAGTCATTGGGTTACTCTAGCCTGGAGTGGAAACTATGCAGGAGGCAGAGGTAGGCTCATCTCCATGAGTTTGAGACCAGTCTGGCCTACACGGTGAATTCTATGTCAGCCCAGGCTACATAAATAAAATAAAATAAAATAAAATGAAATCTACAAATTAACAAACAGAAACATTTGTGATGAAAGCAAAGCTTCATTGGGAGCCGAAACCAGTCTTCAATCTGTATGAGAAGAGACAGAAGCCAGAGTTCTCTTGGCCATCTTGGGTCTATGTCCCCAGTGGATGTGGTGTGGGCCAGGTGAGATGGGGTGTCCTGATGGAGGTGGGTGACAACAAGGTCTGGACACGGAAGATGGGGCCCAGTCCAGCAGAAACAGGCTCTCAGACTCCAAGTCTCTTCTCTGGTTCTTCAGAAGGTTTATGATGCCATCCACTCACACCACTACTTAGCAGCCCCCGGCTTCCAACCACTGGCCCTTTTGTAACTTTTTATGTTGAAATAACATTTTTCTCAGTTTCCTAGGCTGCTGTGGACTTGCTCTGTGGCTCAGGCAGATCTTGAACTTGAAGTTCTCCTGCATCAACTTTCAAATGGCAAGGATACTAGAAAGGTCAATCACTATGAGACCAGCCTGGTCTATGTAGAAAATTCTAGGCCCGCCAACCGTTACAGGGTGTGATCCTATCTCAAAGAAAGGGAAATCTCATAAGGTGTGGTGGTGGTGGTGGTGGTGGTGGTGGTGGTGGTGGTGGTGGTGGTGCACACCTTTAATCCCAGCACCCTGGGTTGGGGGGCAGAAGCAGACAGGTCTCTGTGAGTTCAAGGTCATCCTGGTCTACATAGTGAGCTACAGTGAGCTCCAGGACAGCCAGACCTACATAGTGAGACCCTATTTCAAACAACAACAGAATTCTTTAACTTTCAGGTGGAGGTGGTCCCCACCATGTTTCCAGGGACATTGACCTCCTCTATGTTGCTTGCACTCCCACACCCCAGGTTGCCACAGCTCCCAACACCGGGGCTTCTAGATTATCACCTAACCCCTCAGGTCTGATGTCAAGACACTCGGTGGCACTGAGCCCCTGCTTCCCTTGTTAGTTGTTTACTAGAGATAGGGGTTCACTCTGTTGTCGAGGCTAGACTCAAAACTGTGACGATCTTCCTTCAGCCTCCGACTAAGGTGTAAGCTGCACCACCACTCTTGCTTACCTTCATTCTCATTTTTTAAAGTATGCACTTGGGAGGCAGAGGCAGGCGAATCTCTGAGTTCCAGGCCAGCCTGGTCTACAAAGCAAGTTCTAGGACAGCTAGGACTGTTACATAGAGAAACTCTGTCTCAAAAAAAAAAAAAAGGGTATTTATTTTTGTATGTCTGTGGGTCAGAGGACAAGCGTCAAGAGTCAGTTTTCTTCTCCCACCGCATGGGCCTGGGTGTCCGAACTCAAATAGCCAGGCTTGGTGGTGGGTCTCCTCAGCCACTGGGCCATTCCACTCCCCCACGTGGGCTCCCGCTCTCCAGCGCATCTTCTCCACGAGCCAGTGTGCCAGCTGATACTCTCCGAAGTACCCCCTATCTTCTGGGGAACTGAGGTGGCTTTGTCCTCAGAGCCAAGTCTTTTCATCATTTTAGAGCAAGGGTCTCATAAAGCTTAGGCTGGCATCAAGCTTGCTAGGTAGCCAAAAATGGCTGAACTGATCCTCCTGACTCCAACTCCTGAGTTCTGGCATTACAGACATGCCCCGCAGTGTCCTGTCTGGTAGGTACAGTGCTTGCTAAACAGAGGACTTTTGAGGATGCTGAAAAGCAAGCACTCTACAAACTCAGCTCTCTTCAAGGTCCCTTGCTACAATATTAATGGATACAAGCCATCCTCCTGCCTCAGCCTTCTCAGTGGCCGCCATGGCAGACTGGTAGAGCATCCAGCTCAGCCCCTGATTCCAGAACATGTTCATAATTTTATCAACAAAAATTTCAGCTTTATACTTTTTATGTCTGTTATCAGGCACAGATTAGCACCCCTCGTCCCCACTGACTCACATTTAGAACTAGGTGGGTCACAAATGAATACAATGCAGCCAGATCTGTTGGCTCACAACTGTAACCATCCTAGGAGGAAGGCTGAGGCAGGAGAATTTCTAAGAGTTGGAGTTCCAAATCAACCTTAGCTACAGAGCAAGACCCCATCTCAGAAATGTTAAGTCTTAAACCTCAGGACAAATGGTTGAAGTGCCTATTTAACATAGCAAAATGGACCAGGCCACTGGGCTCGCTCAGCATGTCAGTTCCTGTTTGCATGCTCTACCCGGAACTCTCCAGCCCAGGGGTTGGGCTATCCTTCTCACAGAGGCTCTTCCCTATATAATCTAGCCATTTTGGGTACCTTCCCCGTCCCTCCCCCCCTTTAAACCCTTTACCTTCTTGACTGCAGCACCTGATTCCCCTCTCTCCTCTCTTTGTCCGGTTTCCTCACATGGCTCAGGGGCTTGTCTACTCTGGACTCTCCCAGATGATCTACACTAATCTTCTCCTCCACCGTATCTAGGAACAGCCATATCCTTTCCTTTTTATTTTTATTTTTCATTCAAGAAACAAATCCAAAACGAAGTACAAAAATAAGCAAATAAATAAAACAAATATATAAATCAAACTCCATCATACCTAGGAATAGTCATGTCCTTTCCTTTTTATTTTTTTCATTCAAGGAATAAATCCAAAATGAAGTACATAAATAAGCAAATAAGTAAAACAAATATAAATCTTTTGACTTTCACCGAATCTCGTTTTGTGTGTGTGTGTGTGTGTGTGTGTGTGTGTGTGTGTGTGTGTGTGTGTGTGTGTGTCTGTCTGTCTGTCTGTCTCTGTGGTTGGTCGTCGTCGTCTCCCCGCCCCCCCCCCCCGCCCCGCCCCCGAGCTGAGGACCGAACCCAGGGCCTTGCGCTTGCTAGGCAAGCGCTCTACCACTGAGCTAAATCCCCAACCCTGGGTTTTTCTTTTTTGTTGTTGCTTTTTTTTTTTTTTTTGAGACAGTCTCACTATGGAGACCTGGCTATATTGGAACGCTATGCCGAGCAGGCTGAGCTCGAAATGATAGGGATCTGCCTGAATCGGCTACCGGAAGGCTGGGATTAAAGGCGTGCACCATTTCCCGCGGCTTTCCGGGGTTGGTTTGTTTGTTTTTTCCTCTCAGAGAACTTGGCCTTGAACACACAGAGATCCCCCTGCCTCTGCCTCTCGAGGGCTTGGGTCAAAAGCGCGCGCCATTTCGCGGGTCTTTCTGCTCTTTATTTTTTTTTTTTCCTTCTCACAAAGACCTTGTATTGAATCCAGACGCAGAAAAAGCCCAGGCAGGGCGGAGACTCAGTCATCCAATCGGCTGACAGCTTGTGGTTGGCAGGCGGGGCTACAAACCGGAAGTATGAGACGGAATACGGAAGGGGAAAAAAAACTTCAGACCGGAAGTGCGAGGCGGAAAACGGATAAAAATGCTTCAGAACGGAAGTGTGAAGTGAAGATGGATGAGAAATTTTCAGAGGAGTCAGGGAAGCCTTGAAGCGCGAGCCTGGAGTGACTGCCTGGTTCTTCTGGGATTCTGAGTCCTGTAATTAGTGCTTGTTTCTGGTAAGTCAACCACCTCCATTAGGGCACACTGATTCAGGGGCATTTGACTCAAGATGCCAAGGGAACTCAGATTTCTTCTCTTCATACGGACGCATTGCAGACATTGGGTTTACACATGATGAAGTTTACCGTCATCTTATATGTCTTTTGATTTTAATTTGTTGGTTTCATTTTTATTAATTTTTTTGGGGACAAGGCCCCACTATGCTGCCCCAGCTCACCTAGAATGTAGCTCAAGTTGGGCCAGAAATTAAGAAACAGCCTGCCGCCCCTCCCCTCTCCAGCCTCTGTAGTTCATGATTACCAGTGTGTTTCACCAAGCTCTGGTTAATATCAAATTATTATTTGTTTTTTGAGACAAGGTTGCACTCTGTAGCAGAGTGCCTTTAAACACCTAGCAGTTCCGCGTCTGCCTCCCCATGCTGGAACTACAAGCTGGGGGTTACCCGAATATCTAGAATTATGCCTTGGTTTGTGTCAATTTAGAAGTTATATTCTTTGGTTATTCAGTCTCTAGTAAGGATGGCCTCAGACTGCCTCATCCTCCTGACTGTTAGAATTAAAAACCTGAGCCCAGCAGTGGTGGTGCATACCTTTACTCCCAGCACTCTCGGGGCAGAGGCAGGCAGATCTCTGAGTTCGAGGCCAGCCTGGTCTACATATCAAGTTCCAGGACAGCAAGGGCTACACAGATAAACCTTGTGTCTGGGGTGGGGGGAGTTAAAAGCCTGATTAACTACTAAAGGCTTGTTTTTGTTTTTGTTTTTCAAGACAGGATTTCTCTGTGTAGCTTTGCGCCTTTCCTGGAACTCGCTTTGGAAACCAGGCTGGCCTCGAACTCACAGAGATCTGCCTGTAAAGGCTTATTTTTAAATATCCGTTTCTTTTTAGAGACAGTCACATGTAGAACAGGTTGAAGTAGAACTCACATAAATTTTTTGTTTGAAATGGAGTCTTATGTAGCCAAGGATGGTCTTGAGCTCGATATATATAACTGGGGCTGGCCTTGAACTCTTGATCTTTCTTCCTCCTAATAATTGGGATGCATGTTACAAGACTGTCTCATCATATCTGACTTTACATTTTTATTTTATTTATTTTGGTTTTTTTTTTTTTTTTTTGGTTTTTTTTTTTTTTTTTTGGTTTTTCGAGACAGGGTTTCTCTGTGTAGCTTTGCGCCTTTCCTGGAACTCACTTGGTAGCCCAGGCTGGCCTCGAACTCACAGAGATCCGCCGGCCTCTGCCTCCCGAGTGCTACATTTTTATTTTATTTTTATTTTGTTTTTAGAGACATAGTCTTATGTTGTCTAGCCTGACTTTAAACAATCTTCTTAATTCCACCTTCTCAGTGTTTGGATTTTATTTACTTATTTTGGTTTTTCAAGATAGGGTTTGTCTGTGTATCCCTGGCTGTCTGGAACTTGCTCTGTAGACCAGGCTGTAATGAGAAATGCCCATCGAATGGAATTTGCTTTTGTTTGATTGTGTTAAGTTTTTTAAGACTTAGTCTCATTAAGGCCAGGATGGTCTTGAACTCCTGACTTTCCAACTCTACATTTGATTAGTTTGTAATTCCCAAAGTTCACCTTTTTGTTTGTTTGTTTTGTTTTTTTTTTTTGAGACAAGGTTTCTCCGTGTAATTTGGAGCGTGTCCTGGAAGTAGCTCTGTACACCAGGCTGGCCTCAAACTCACAGAGATCCGCCTGCCTCTGCTTCCTGAGTGCTGGGGTTTAAGGCCTGCGCCGCCCAGCAAGTTATATACTTTTTTTTTTTTGAGACAGGGTTTCTCTGTGTAGCTTTGGAGCCTGTCCTGGATCTCACCATGTAGACCAAGCTGGCCTCGAACTCACAGAGATCCACCTGCCTCTGCCTCCTGAGTGCCGGGATTAAAGACGTGCACCACCACAGCCTGGCTTTTTTTTTTTTTTTTAAGTTATATACTTTTCAAGTTACTGTTTTGTGGCTTTATAAATTGAAATTTCTTTTAAGCCGTATCTTTAAAATAGTACTGGGAATGAAGTTTGATAACACAAGGCACAAATCCCATTTCTTCTGGGGACTGAAGCTGTAGGAATGTAGTTGGTTCAGCCTGGTCAATTTGGCAAGACCTTGTCTCAAGACAAAGCCAAGTGGACTGCTAGCACACTCCTGGAGTCATAGCACTGGGGACACAATGGAGGAAGAACCCCAGTTCCAGGCTATCGTAGGGTACTCAAAGTGATCTTGTCACTACATAAAATGAAATGAATAAGTTGGATATGTAGCTTAATGGGAGAGTACTTATCTAGCATGGGCCAGGCCCTAGGATCAAACCCCAGCACTGTACACCATGTGTATGCCTAGTGCTCATGAAGGCCAGAAGAGGGCGGATCCCCTGGGTACTAAAGTTACAGAAGGTTGTAAACCACCATGAGGGTGCTGGGAACCAAACTCAGGTTCTCTAGAAGAGCAGCCAGTACTCTTAACTGCTAAGCCATATCTCCAGTCTTGGGTTTTGTTTTTATTTGTTTGTTTTTGTTTTTTCCTTATGATACCCTCAACTTGGACTGGCCAGAAACTATACAGACTAACTGGCCTGGAACTTCTTCCAAAGTGCTGGGGAGGCTCCTGCCACCATGCTATGCATCATTGCAGTATTTTCAAAGTAGAGTCTACTAGCCAGGCATTGTAACCAAAACACAAAATTCCCTCCTAAAGTAGGCAGGAAGATGGCAAGCCTGGGCCACATAGTACCATCAAGGGCAGCCCTGACTTCATAGCCATTCCACACCAGCTTGGACCACAGACAAGACCATATTTCAGAAAGTAAACAAAGAAAGTTAAAAGTATGGCTGGAAGTTTTTCCTTTTCTCATCCATTTCCTCACCTAGTCTTGAATGCAACATTGGGAAATTCTCTTCCTGTAATCCTCTCTGCTTCAGTATCTTCATCTCAAAGTCACTGTCTCCTAGACACTCTCCAGACAGTTACATGGTTTGAGAACTGCTTGTGAGAGCTTGTTTTATATGTGAGTCACTGTCTCAGTCTCCAGAGTAGTATGGCATAGCTTAGTATCCTCCATTAGGCTCTAAAGCTTTGAAAGTAATGAGTAATGATTAATGCACATTTCATACACCCTACCCTCAGTCATTCCCAGGCAGGTTCAGCTCATCAAAAGCAAAATATGGGGGACTGGAGAGATGGCACAGCAGTTAAGAATACTTAATTGCTCTTGCAGAGGACCCAGATTCAATTCCCAGGACCTGCATGATGGTTCACAACCACCTGTAACATAGCACCGGTTCCAGGGGATTCAGTAGGCACACATGTGGCACACATACATGCCTGCAGGCATAAAATAAAATAAATACATCTAAAAAAATTAAAACAAGTAGGATATGGGAAGGTTAGGCATGAAACATTCCCATGGCCTTCCTTTCCCATGAGCATCTTGAGAGATGATCAGTGTTCCCGTTGCCATAAAAGGATGGGGTTCAGCTCTTAGGTTCCTGGGTACCCCTTCCCAGTAGGAATTGAATTTGGAGGAACAGTGGCTGCCTTTAGATAGCACAGTTGAGAAGGTATGGTCATATGTTGTTCCTATATTTGAATGTTTGGTTCCCAGTTGGTGGACTGTTTTGGAAGGATTAGGAGACATGGCCTTGTTGGAGAAGGTAAGTCACTAGAGGTGGGCTTGGAGGTTTCAAAAGCCCACGCCAGACCTTCATTGCTTGCGGATGAGATGTAAGCTCTCTGCTACTTCTCTAGTGCCATGCCTACCTACCATTGATGGTCATGGATTAACCTTCTGAACCTGTAATCAGACCTCCAATTAAATGCTTTTATAAGTTACCTTGGTCATGGTGTCTCATCACAGCAGTAGAAAACTAAGACAAGTGAGAAGTGGGGTTTCCTAAGACACAGCTTCCTTTATTTTTCACCAGGTTTTTTCAGACTAAAGAGCTGAAGGATGAGTGGTCAGGCCCCACCCCCGCTCCTGCAGCTGACAGTGCAGAGGCTGCTGAGGGAGGAGGCCCTGGCCATCTCTGCTCTGCAGGACCTGCCTACGGTGCTGTTCCCACCACTGTTCAAGGAAGCCTTCAACCACAGACAGACTAACATCCTGAGGGCTATGGTAGCAACGTGGCCCTTCCCCTTCCTTCCTGTGGGGACCCTGATGAAGACTCCCCACCTGGAGACCTTGCAGGCTGTGCTGGATGGAGTAGACATGCTGTGGACACAGAAGGTTCTCCCCAGGTAAGCGAGAGCCAGCTAGGGTAAAATGGTGGACACTGGGGTACAGGGAAGAGACATCTGGAGTAAGGGAGAATGAGGTCAAAGGTCGATCAGAGGCTTCTGGTGGTATCATCTTGGAAGATTGCAGAGGCCCTGACCCCTGTTGAGCCCCAGTATAAAGGACAGTTGGGTATGGAGTAGAGCTTAAAGCAGCTGTAGCCACAGTGGAATGAACTCTGGCTCTCACACAGGTTCTAGAAGTGAGTGGAAGAGAGAGTCAAGAGTAACTGAATGGAGGAAGCAGGACAGGTCTTTAGATGCAGCTCAGGCAGAGAGCCCCTTGCCTGGAAGGCATGGGGTGCTGTGTGGAGACTCAGGACTGAAGAGCATAAACAAACACACATAACAGAGCAAGGACCAGGCGGCAGCAGAGCTGCCTGGGAAAAGCTGGCTCTGGGTTTGGTCTTTTGTGTCTCCTGACACTTCCGTTCTACTCATAGGAGGCGGAAGCTTCAAGTGCTTGACCTGAGGAATGTGCACCACGACTTCTGGGATGTTTGGGCTGGAACAGAGGGTGAAGACTGCTCAGCAGAGGCTGTGTGTGAAAAGCAAACCACAAAGCGCCATCCTAGATACGCACTGAGGCAGCGTTTGAAGGTGGTCACGGACCTTTGCCTCAGGTTCCATCTGAATGAACACCAAACATACTTGTTACAGTGGGCCCAGCAGAGAAGAGGTTTCATAAGGCTGTGCTGTGTGAAGATGCGGATTTGGGCATTGCCCGTCTACACCGTCAGGAAAGTCTTGATGGTTTTCCAGCCTGACAGCATCCAAGAGTTGGAACTGAATACAGGTTGGAGTCTGTCCACTCTGGTGCATTTTGTATCTTACCTGGACCAGATGAGGAATCTTCAAAAACTCCTTTTAACCCGGATCCACAAGAATACCTTCAAGGTTCTAAATACCCCCACAGACATACAAAAGTGTATCACCAAGTTCGTGTCTCAGTTTTCCAAACTCAACTGTCTCCAACATCTCTCCATGAATGGCGTCTACTTTTCCAGTGAGCACATGAAACAGTTGTTCAGGTAAGGTAGGATGGAGAGCGATTTCTGCTCCCGTGGCAACCCTTCCTCTCACATTAGAGAGTAGTGGGCACTTGAGTGAGATCAGCCAACCACTGTGGTTTCACAATCACGGAGTCATCACAGCATCCAAGGGTTTTGTTCCCATTTTAACGGAGTCAGGAGCTCAGTTTGTTCAGTGACCACCCATTAAGCAGAGTCTGAGCTGGGGTAGGAGATATGTAGAGAGTGGCCTTGCTAGAAGACCAATCGGTGGGTCAGATGTAGTAAGCATGTGCTGTGTATTCTTGCTTGGCATTCTGTCTAAGATAAGGGGAAGGGAATAGGTCAGAACAGTGGGCCCAGAACTGGAGAGGGCCCACATCCCTAGGGAACTCTGTGCTTAGCATTTGTGTGTCTTCTAATTTCCCACATGCAAAATCCTTTTTTGAGCCCAGGTAGGACCTGAGTAGAAATGGGTGGAAATGAGTGATACCCACTGTGCGTGAGAGGTAGGGGTGAGGAACTTTAGGACAGACTGTACTGGGAAAGGCAGAGTGTGCCCTCGGCTAATGTGGCTAGCACAGGTTCTCTTCTTGATAGTAATGGACTACACACCTGTGGACTGAGTAAGTCCCATTCTGATACTCACAGGCCTCTCTGCCAAGAATGGTGAGACTAATGAGCAGCATCCTGGATATTGATCTCCATTATATAGTCACATGACCTGAAGACAAGTGGTCACCTTTACCTCTATGCTAACCCTAACACCAACTCTCTCCATCTCTGTGTGCCAGAACTAATCACTTGGTCTCTCCCTAGGTACCTGAAGACCCCTTTGGACACCCTGTCCATTACTATGTGCAAGCTCTCACAGTTAGATTTGAATTCCTTGTCCCAGAGCCAGAGTCTCCATCAGCTCAAACACCTGAATCTGAGACTTGTGAAGTTAATTGATTTATATCCTGTGCCTTTCCATGATCTCCTAAAGAGTGTTGCAGACACTCTGCAGACCCTAGAGTTGGAGGGCTGCTGGTTGGTGGACTCTCAGCTCATCACCCTCCTGCCTGCCCTGAGCCAGTGCTCTCAACTCACCAGGGTCAATTTTTGTGACAATGACATCTCCATGGCTGTCCTGAAGGACCTTCTGTATCACACAGGCAACCTACGCCAGTTGACCCAGGAGCTGTACCCCGCCCCTCTGGAGTGCTATGATGACAGGGGTGATGTCCGTGTGGGAAGATTTGTCCAACTTTGTCCTGAGCTCATGGATGCACTCGCTACTGTAAGGCAGCCCAGGAGAGTCTCCTTTGCTACATATGTCTGCCATGAATGTTGTCAGCGCTGTGTCTATGACCGGGAGACCAAACTTTGTCGTTGTTGGCAGTAAATGGGGGATGGTTGCTTCTTGATACTGAGAAATGAAAGCCTAACACAATAGGTCTTTCATCAAGGGGAGCCAGAGCTTATAGCCACACTCTCACTGCTTAGTGTTTGGGCAACAGTGGTATGCAGTAGGGTCAGACCACAGGGACTGAGGTTGACATGGAGAACAGTGGGGCTTGAGGACAAGTGTTTATGGAGTCAAAAAGATAATTCTGCATTTCTTTTTTCTTTAAGATTTATTTCGTGTATGAGTGGTTTATCTTCATATGTGTGTGCTTGGTGCTTGTGGAGGACAGATGAAGGATTGGATCCCCTGGAACTGGAGTAACTGAACCACCATGTGGGGGCTGGGGATCTAACATGGGTCCTCTGCAAGAACAAGTGCTCTGAGCTGCTGAGCGAGCCATTGCTCCAGCCCCAATTCTGCATTTTCTAAACGAGTTCTGGCAGGACATGGTACACACATGGTAGTTGTGAGGTAAGGGTCAGATTTTGAAACCTGGATATTCTCCTGGTGTCCTTCCCTGCCATTAACCTGGTTTCAGTGTCACTGTTTCCCTTGGACTGTTGAGCTGGAAAGACCCTGTGTTGGCAGCAGATGTACAAAGATACAGAAGACGACACTTTGGCAGAGACTTGCAGCCAGCTTCGTGGATGAACAGCTCCTTTACCTTTGGTCTTTTTACTGTGAGCCAGCCATGGTCAGACTGCCTAGACCACACACAGCCTGTGTGCCAGCCATGGTCAGACTGACTGCCTAGACCACAGCCTGTGAGCCAGCCGACTGAACTTCATTTAGTTCTGATCTGTAGGGTTCTAGCGTTCTGTTCCTTTAGCCTGTAGAAAATCCTGACTAACATCAAAGTAAACTGAAGGCAATTAGACACTGTTTTCTTTTCCTTCCCTCTGCCTGGGTGTCTGTTGTGTCCCACTGTGTGTCCGCTCAGCGCTTTGTGTGTACAAAATTTTCAACCTAAAGTGAGCAGTGCAGTCTCCTGTGAGGGCTTTGGGGAATGGTCGAAGCATTCTAGCTGGTGTATTTAGACTAGGAGGTACTGTGGACATAGCCAAGACTGCTGAAGCAAAATCAAAGATAGAAGCCACCTTGCTTGCTCCCTCCCTGTTTATCTCTTTCATAGTCACCTATTGCCCAGGCTGGCTTCGAAATTCCCCTGCCTCAACCTCCTAAATGCTAAGATTACTGAAGTATGCCACTGTGGCCAGCTTTTAAATCACATGTCTGTGGGGCCCTATTCTTCAGGACTTCCAGCCCTCTGGGTGTCCCTGAACATAAAGGTCTCCAGCTGATGGACAGATGTCCCTGTCCTGTCTTAAAGGATTGACAGACCTTAACTGCATTATAAGTGTTCAGGAGTAAACTTTTATTTTGTTAATGAGTACTGTAAATGTCCAGGAATAAACTTTTATTTTGTTAATGAGTACTTTAAATGTCCAGGAGTAAACTTTTATTTTGTTAATGAGTACGTAAGCCTACCCATTGCACTCCCCTGTGTTTGTATGTCGTGGTAGCAATAAAGAATTTTGTTTCATGCCCTCTGGTTTTTCTTTTAATTGAGAAATTTTTTATTCATTTTACATACTAATCACAGATATCTCTCTTCCCTCCTCCAGCCTTTCCCCTGCAACCCACCTCCCATCCCCTCCTACAAGAAGGTAAGGCCTCCCATGGGGAGTCAGCAGAGCCTGGTACATTCGGTAGAGGCAGGTCCAAGCCCCTCCCCCTGCTTCAAGGCTATGCAAGGTTTCCCACCATAGGTAGTGGGCTTCAAAAAGACGTTAAAAGTGTGTTAAGAATATAGGAGAGAGCTGGGCAGTGGTGGTGCACGCCTTTAATCCTAAGCGCTTGGGAGGCAAAGGCAGGTGGATCTCTGAGTTTGAGGCCAGCCTGGTCTACAGAGCTAGTTCCAGGACAGCCAGGGCTGCACAAGGAAATCCTGTCTCAAAAAAGAATATAGGGAGGACTGGAGAGATTGCTTAATAGTTAAGATCATGGTGTGTTCTTGCAGAGGACCTGGGTTTCATTCCCAGCATCCACAACTGTCTAGAACTGTAGTTCAAGGGGATCAGTTAAAAAAAAAAAAAAAAAAGAAAGAGTAGATGAGATAGCCTGTTGGGGTGTTAGACCCCCCACTAGCAGGCCTAACATGTAATAAAAGAGGCTTCTGAAAGTGCTTTCTGAGATACATACACCGGCCAAGACAGAAGTGCTGTGCCATGCACACTCGTGCGCGGCACACACAAACACACACACACACACACCCCCAACACTTTAATATTTTAATTAAATAGATAAAACCTAATGGTCTGTGTTTAGCTAGTTGGCCCCCAAACTCAGAGACTGTTTCTCTGCTCTCTCCAGAGTGCTGGGAATAAAGGCAGCGGCTGCCGTGCCCAGTAACGGACCAGTTTTGCCTGGAGTGCCTTGCTGATGTTTTCTCTTTGGGGCAAGATGGAGTGTGGTAGCCAACTTGGGGACTGGAAGCTACTGGTGGACAGCAGGTGGGATCCCAAAGGTCCTTCAAGCTTCGGTGGAGGCTGGGTCAGGGACAAGGCATTCCTCAGACTCCTGCATTGAGGTAGAAGCAGGAAAGTGCAGTAGCAACCGGAAGGCCACAGAGGAGCCAGAGGAGAGGCCTGGAGTGCCAGTCAAGGCCACAGCCTAACTGCTGGAGTCAGCCCTGCAAGCTGGTTCCCACCTGTTCTCGGGGACTCAATGAGAATACAACCAACCCAGCCTCAGGAGGGTTGAAGGGTGGTATGCAGCCCAAGGTGATAGATTTTTCCTGCCCCATCCTTTTAAATTTAAAATAATTTTTTTTAACTTTAAGTGTATTGATCATATTTTTCCCCTCTCCAAGTCCTTCCAGATCCTCTCCCCGACCCAACTTTAAATTCTTTCTCAAACAAAAAACAAAAAACCAATACAACAAAACTCCAAAACCCAAGAAAAAAAAATACCCGTTCCCCCCCAAAACACACACACACACACACACACACACACACACACACACACACACACACACAAAACAAAACGGAGTCCATTATGTGTTGGTGAACTAGTTAGTCCTGAATATGAGGCCTGCCTTGGAGTGGTTGATATACCCATTGTCACTCCATTGAAGAAAATTGATTTTCCTGCTCCCAGCGGGTATAAATGGCAGTTCAGTTGTTAACCTTTACCCTAGTGACTAGGTTTTCACAAATATATATTTGTGAAATATAACAATAAAATATAATAAAACAAAAACTATCACATTGAATTGGGCAGGACAAGCCAACAGAAGGAAAAGAGGCCAAGAGAAGGCACGAGAATCAGATACCCTCAAATCCCATAAAAATACTAACCTGGAAGCCATAATATAAGCTCAGAGGACCTGGTGCGGACCTGTGCATGCTGCTTCAGTCTCGAAGTTCAGAATGTGCTTTGCTTATGGTAATTTAGAGGCCTTGTTGCGTGGTCTCCTCCACCCCTTCTAGCTCTTGCAATCCTTCTCCCTCCTCTTCTGTGGGGTCTGATGAGAGGGATTTGATTTGATGGACACAAAGAGGGTTGAGTCTTCCAAAGTCTCTCACTCTCTGCCTAATATCTGGTTGTGGGTCTCCTGTGTGAACACAGTGAGGCTTTGGTTTTGAACCAAGGGTGGTGGTGTACCAGAGAGGCTGAGGCAGAAGGATTGCTAGTTTAAGAATAGCCTTTTATCCAATGAGTTATCTCACTACCTATTTTATATGTATGGGTGCTTGCCTGCATGTGCGTGCACTCGCACACACACACACACACACACACACGCACGCACACACGCATACATATATGGGACATGGGGGTATGTACCATTTGTGTGCCTAGTGCCTCTGGAGGTTACAGAATGAACTGGAGTTACAGAATAAGAGTTAGAGGGCAGTCTGGGCTAAAAATCGAGACCATCCCTAGCAACATCCTGGGGATGAGAGGACTGCTGAACTCTGACCTAACTCACTGACCCCCTGCCTTACAGAGCCTGTGTCTCTGTTCATAATGTTCTCGACCTTCCCCTCACTTTCCAGCCCAGTGTCATGCACTTCCCATTTACTTCGCTCCTCCTCAGAATAGGCCTTCACCCATAGCAGGAATTAGTTCCTGTTCACACAGATCTGAGCGAAATGCTCACTTGGGGTACCGTACGCTTGTGAGTCCTCACCTCCTTCAGGGTCTCTTATACCTGTTCCTATCCCCTTACCTCACAACTCACTCTCTATAGCTCTTTCCACCCAGCTAGTCTTGTAGCATGACAGTTCAGGCCTCTGCTTGCTCAGTGATCATCAGAGACCTCAGTTTAGGGAGAGTGGCAATAAGACCATGCTCAGATATGCTGATGTCTCCCTCACTGTTAAATCCAGTGGCTGACAGCAGATGCCCACCACTCCCTAATGTAAAAAAGAAAGGTTTGCTGTGGTAGCAGAAACAGCTCTCCACCACCCTTCCTTACCAGAATAGCTGTTTTAGGTGGTGAACTGGCTAGTTTTATGTCAACTTGATACAAGCTGGAGTCATCAGAGAGAGGGAGCCTCAACTGAGAGAATGCCTCCATAAACTGTGGCTGTAGGCACCAGGCACACCTTTAGTCCAGCACTCAGGAGGCAGAGTCAGGCAGATCTCTGTGAATTCAAGGCCAGCCTGTCTATAGAGTGAGTTCCAGAAAAGCCAGGGCTACACAGAGAAACCTTGTCTCTAAAAAACAAAACAGCAAAAAAAGATGGTTGTAGGCAAGCCTGTAGGGCCTTTTCTTAATTAGTGATCTACAGGAGAGGGCCCAGCCCAAAGTGGTGCCTTCCCTGTCTGGTGGTTCTGGGTTCTGTAAGAAAGCAGGCTGAGGAGTAAGCCAGTAAGCAGCACACCGCCCCCCGCCCCCCATGACTTCTACATCAGCTCCTGCCTCAGATTCCAGCCCTGTTCTTCAGTGATGAACAGTGACATGGAAGTGTAAGCCAAATAAACCCTTTCCTCTCCAGGTTGCTATGGTATTTTGTCTCAGCACCAGTAACCCTAAGACAGATAGCCACTGAGAAAGTAGATGCTATTGATGCAAGGTTCCTGGACACAGTTGAGATTGGAGAACTGAGAAGTAGAAGATGACAACCCTTCCTCTGTGCTGAAAAGGTCTCTGTCATTGAAGATATTTGTGGTGATACCTGGTACATAGAATTTGCAAAGATTTCTTACCTGGCCCAGGCACAAACGGGGTCAGTGAGGTCTGACTGCATCGCATATCTAGTTCCAATTCCTGAATAAACAGTGGATCTAAAATGTTCAGGATCTCTAGGACGGTGTTGATGGTTGACACCGAAATCCACAGCGTCCTACAGCACAGCTCTACTGACATGGTTCTCAGTGAAGTAAAACTGTGCTAACCCCTCAGGGCTGCTGCGCCTCAGATGTGATATTGATGACCCGAGTTGCACAGCCACCATCCTGGGCTCCAGCTGAGACATTCCGGAAGTTCTGGTGCATAGCCACCAAATACCAAATCAAGCATGGTCAGTTTCCTACTCCTGTAAGAAAACTGGTAGAAATCTCAGAAGACAAGACCCAACATAGTCTTCTTTTACTCCACATTTGAAATGTCAGCTGGTCTCTTCTCTACTTTGTCTTATAAATATTCATTTTTTAAACTGGTAAATAACAAACCCAGGGCCTCATACAGATGCCTGAGCAGCATCTGAAGCTCTGTCTTGCTTCTCTCATTCTGTCCCCTTTCAATGTGTTCCCCACACTTGACAGTCCTTTCTCAGATGGTTCACCAAAGGCTGAGACCTCCAATCCTTCAAGCTAGGACCATCAGAAATCTCTGATCCGCCTTTGACCCCCATTCTTCCTGGCCATATTTGCCCCTTGCCTACTTTCCTGCATATATGGAGCTTGCTTCCTTGGGGTGAATCTTCTGGGTTAGCAGCACATCCGCTCCACCCAGCACAGCCTTGCAGGTCTCTAGGTCAGGCATCTTCATTCAAGACTCCACAGTGAGGCAGGAAAAGGGCCAGGCTGCCACCATTGCCTCCAGGATGCTTGTGTGTTAGTGAAGGCCTCCCTGAACAGGGATGGGAGGAGCTCCATGGGCAGGCACTCAAGACAGAGATGGCCAGGGCTTCATCCCTTAGCAGCCCCTGCGCTGCCAGCTGCAGGGGTGGGGCTGGGGCCGGGAAGCTCTTCCTGGTGGGGCTTCAATCTGCAGCCTTCTTGGGAAGCATCAAGGAAAGACTATACTTTCAGAATGAGACATAAGAAGCCAGTTTTTCCATCAGGGGACTCATATCAGAGCCAGAGTCCCTGCTCTGGCATTGGTGGAAACCTCATTTTACCCTATTCCATTCACTATCTGTTTAGTCTTGAAGCCAAACTACCTTCACTAGCAGCATGGGGAGCCTTTCACAAGCATACATGTGGACACAAGTCACTATTATTCTGTCCATTTCTAACCAGCTCCTCTTAAATCTATTCTGCTGGGGAGCTGGTACCCTAGAGCCTGAAATCTGATCCCCATCTTTTTATGGTTAAAGGATGACAATCCTCTTCCTAGGCCCTGACAGGAAGACCATGGGAAGGTCACATGTTCATCCTCCCCATAGAAAGACTGAAGAGAAAGTATGCATAGTGTGTCCTCACCTATTGCTCTCAAAACTTTGTTCCTGTTTTGGTGACACTGGGAACTGGAACTGTCAGCTTAAGATGACATGGCTGCTGTCTCACTCTCAAAGCCAGTGTGCAACAACGTAAACTTTCACAAGGGGTAGAGCCACACAAATGCATGCAGCGCATCTGGAAAGCTTGCACTCTGAGACAGGCATGCTCCCTCGACACAGGAGGATTTCCTGTGCTTCCCTGGGGTCTAGAGGGAAAAAAGAGAATGACAAAGAAATCTAGTTTTATTTTGATGTGTTTTTAAAATTTTTTTTTAATGACTTATTTACTTTATGTGCATTAGTGTTTTGTCTGCATGTATTTCTTTGAGAGAGTATCAGGTCCCCTGGAACTGGGGTTACAGATAGTTGTGAGCTGCCATGTGGGTGCTGGGAATTGAACTCCAGTCCTCTAGAAGATCAGCCAGTGCTCTTAACCACTGAGCCATCTCTCCAGCCCCTTCATGTGTTTTGTTTTGTTTCAAGACCTTCCTGGTGTTCCCTGTGGCCAAATCAACAAACCAAATGAAGGACAGCAGTAATGGAACTCTCCTCACACCTTTAATCCCAGCACTGGGGACCCAAAGGCAGGCAGATCTCTGTGTGTTCAAGTCTCTCTTTGCTTTTAAGTGCTTCTAATGATCTCTTTGGTAAATGAAGGTTTTTATTCCACCATGATCTGCATCCACTTTATGTGTTTAAAACTTTGACAACTAATAATATAAATTATATATGATTATATACATATGTACTTTTCATGTGTATGAGTTTTTTGTTTGCATGTATGTAAGTATATATACCACATGTGTGCCTGGTGCCGATGGAGGACAGAAGAGGACATGGATTCCATGGAACTGGAGTTATATATGATTGTGAGCTACTGTGTGGGTTGTGGGGATGGAATTCACTTCCTCTGAAAGAGCAGTATGTACTCCCCATCCCAGCAGTTTCCCCTTCCTCCCCTTCCCCCAGTCTCTTCCCCTCTTCTCTCCTCTGCCTCAGATCCACCACCCCTCTGCCTCCCTTCAGAAAAGAGCAGGCCTCCAAGGGAGAGCAACACCGACTCTTAAGCTTGAGCCATCTCTCCAGCACCCAGCACTTTTGACAAACTTTTCCAAAATCAAGTTCTATTTTAAATCATTTTTGACCTTGAACTAACTTTGACAGTCTCAAGGGATGATAAGAGAGCGGAATAAAATGCAACCTAATGTCAGATAAGAAATGTTTCTTGTAGTCATGGTGGGTCACACCTTTAATCCCAGCACTTGGGAGGCAGAGGCAAACAGATCTCTGAATTACACAGTGGGATCCCGCTGAGAGGGTGGAGGGGTAAGGGAGAGAGATTTTAAAATAAGTTTTAAGTGGACACTCAGGACATAATACCTTTAGCATACTTCTAATTTTAAATCCACTTCTCATGGGGAAGCTCTTCAAAGCTGTTTTATCTATTTACATGCTAGATAAAGACCAACACCTTTTTAAATTATCCTTGGCGTATTTAGCCAAAGATATGCATGAGAATGGACCATCCTGTGGTGGCTGGAACTCCAGAAGCAAGGTTGTCCAGACTGGCCATACAGCGTGGGGATCCCAATCTATTGGTTTTATCTATCTCTTTTGAGACAGTGTGTCACTGTGTTGCCCTGGGCCTTAGCTGTGGATCTTCTTCCCAAGTGAGTTACTTCCAAAATCAGGGACTGAGGGCAGCACCATTAGACACTCACCTGAGCCTCTGCTTGTACCTCCTCCCTGCTGTCTGGAATTCCGACCCAGTGGTACCTGCTCTCAGGAGGTACTAGAGAATGTGGGTGGTGGAATGTTAACTCTATGGAGGCCACCATCTTCGTCACAGTAGGGAAGTCTCCATGCTGTGAGACTTTTGTTGATTGCCTATAAGGAAGCCCAATAAACACAATGATTCATCAACTATATGTGGTGGGGAGTCATTACTTTGGTCTTCCTCTGAGGCTAACCGACCTTTCTTCATGTCCCAACATCATGCACTTCCTAGGTCAGTGTTTTACCCATAGACCCCGTATCTCCAGCCTAATATTTTCCAATTAAGCTTTTTTCTGTTTATTTTGTTGTATTTTGTTTTGTTTTGCTTTATTTGAGACAGGATCTCTTTACATAGCCCTGGCTATCCTGGAACTCACTGTGTAGAGCAGGCTGGCCTTGAACTCACAGAGATGGCTTTGCTTCCCAAGTGCTGGACTATAGGCGTGCAACACCATGCCTGGCTTTAGTTTTCTTTTCTCAAAATTTTTGTGCCTTCTGCTTTTATTGAGCAACATAATAGCAGATATAAATTGTTATTAATCTAATAATTAGTCTAGAAGTGTGTCTTAGATAAAGTATGCTTCGAATGAAACAAGCACTCCATGCAGTCTACCACGGCCTAACTAAATGTGACTTTTGAAGCACGCTTTATTAGTGTCTGGACTCACAGCTTCCTACAAACCCAGTTCCGGGGCTTCCAAGGGATCTCATCTACACCCATGAGATTTCTCCTCCATGGAAGGCAGGTTGAGGCTCTCTGTCTCAGAGTCAGATCCAGTAAAGTCACTCAGCTCCATCAGGGCACCCCATCTGACTCAGTCTAGCAATTGAGACTAGGGAAATTAGCCCCAAGATGACCCAGGGAATTTTTGATTCGATGTTTTATTTATTAGTGTATGTGACAGGGTGGGGCGCTGGTTACAGTGGACAAGTTTGTGGAGTTGGTTCTCAGATTCTAACTTAACAGAGTTCCTGGGAATTGAACCTAGGTCTCCAGGCCTGCAGGTTAAGTGACTTTACCTGCAGAGTCATCTTGCTGGACTAATACCTACAGAAGCAGACTGAAGACCAGTTTTCACTCTAAAAATTGTGTTTAAGACAAGGAATTCAAATCTTTTTTTTTCTTAATCTGCCTCACCTTGCAAAACTTTTGTGCAAATGTTTCACACACACACACACACACACACACACACACACACACACACACGCACGCGCACACACACACACACACACACACACACACACACACACACACACACGCTCGTGCAGTAAAAAACTTTTGTTTACACAAAGAGCAACTGTTGTCTTCCAGGAATTTGATGGCCTGGAGCAGTGGCTCCCTGCCCCCTTCTGTGTGTTAATTATTTTCAGACTAGCCAGTTGGATAGGCCTGTGAGTTCAGAGCCCAGCTGATACAGAAAAGTCACTGCCTGAGTTAGAATAAAATCCAGGCCCACTTCCTGCTTCTGGGTGTTTGCTCTTCTCGGTGCACACCCTCTTGAGAGAGTACAGTTTTTCTGTATAGACACTGCAGTTGGAGTGGTGGTCTCTTTCTTTGTGACCCCGAACTTATTTCTAGCCACTGCAAACGCATGTTTGTGTCTTTCTACAATGTCAGGATTTATATATTTATTCCCGTCTTAATTACTAATATAAACTCTTATCACACTTCACACAGGGAATCCTGGGGAAAACTGAAAGGTTTACAACAAGCCCCCACGGTCAGGCGTGTCTGCCTATGCCTGGCGGATACTTCCGCCTAGCTAGGTCCAGGTCCAGATAGCCATTTCCGGGTCAGGGCATCTCGCGGGACCAAGATCCATGACGTCCCACTAGCCACGTAAGCGCGCAATGTGGCCATGTGATCTACGCGCTTGCGTGTAGTAGTGACGCTGATCTGTCCACGCCCAGCCTTTAAAATCAGGCGCCATGTTCCCGGTTCCCTCTTCCTCTCTACACACGTGTTTCCCACAGGCCTGCTCACTCTCTGTCCCTTTAATAAAACTCTTGTTAGCGGATTCTGTCGTGTTTCGTGGCATTTCCTTGCAGGGTAAGCACACAACGCAGCCGAAAAACTAACAAAAACCTCATTCACTTCCTGCTTGACTTTCTTTTTCCGAGACAGGGTTTCTCTGTAGACCAGGCTGGCCTTGAACTCAGAGATGGTTCTGACTTTTCTTAAACTCCCTTTCAGAGCCCACAGTCAAGGATCCAGTTCCCCTGAGTGCAGGTCACCAAACCTGAATGAATTGGGGCTCCTCAGGTGCTGGGGCTGTGCTGTGCTGGGCCCCCCCAACTAGTGCCCTGCTGTGTATTGCTTTTAATGCCTTGGTAATTCCCTTTCACAGGGTCAGGTATTTCAGGCTGCTTTAGAGCTTGATCATTACATACAGGCAGGAAGATTAGGAGTTAAGGGCCATCTTCAACAACAGCAACCTGGAATGTCCTGAGGCCTGGATTCCAAGACAGCCGGCCTCAGGGGGGGAAAGGGCAAAACAAGAAACAAACGTTACTGAAGTGACACTAGCCCACTCGAGCGAGCATAAGGCTCTGCAGGCCTTGCCCTTCTCCCCAGTCCCTTCTGCCCTGCTAAAACCCCTTAGATGACATTCCTGAAGCTAGCTAGCCCTCAAGGTCTAGTCCCTTATCTGGCCACTTCCTCCTCCTGAGGCTGACTGCCAAAGTCCAACTTAAGTATTGAAGTCCAGCCATCAGAAGCCCCCTTTGGCTCACCTAATTAACATGCTCAATTAAAATGAAAACACCTCATCCTAACATGGGCTTTCCCCTTGTACCTTTATAAACTGCTAGTTTCTCCCATTGTGCCGTGCCTGTCTCCTCTCTATTCAGAGGTCATCTTTTGTCCTCTGGGACAAATACCCCGTCCCTTTTCTCTCTCTTCCTCTATCTCCTGCCTTTGTCCCTTATCCCTGCTCTCTGTCCCTCTGTGGCAAATAAATCTCCTTTGTGCTGAGAACTTGGTCTTGGGAGTCCTGAGCCAATACTTTTCCTGTCATTTATAACTAGGAAAGGCTCAGCAGGTGTAGACTGTAAGAGATGTGGCCCAGGTGGTAGAGAACTTGTGTCTCAAGAAACCAACCAACCACAAATAAATAAACAAGAGCAACAACAACCCCCCCCCAAACAACAACAAAAACCCCAAAAGTTTTAAGAGCTATCTGAACAGGGAGAGAGCATTGTAATGTCTAAGGGGGGGACAGGGAGAAGAGGTGGGAGCATCTTCCTATGTGTGGGAAGGTATCAGAGTGGACATTTACTTTTCGTCTCCCTCTTTCTCTTTTAGTTCTTCTTTCCTTCTTTTGCATCCTGTCTTCCTCCAGCTAAGGAACACCCTCAATCACTCTGGCTTCTTTGTTCGTGGCTCATGGTCCTAACTGGGTAAGAGTCCCCCGTCTGAGCATGCGTGTTGACGTCACCATCTCCTCCCCCCATTTCCGTGACTCTCTTCCACTCCCTCAGTATCACAGGTATGTGAACTAGCTGCTCTCCCCGTAATCCACATCGGAAGTCAAAATGAATGTGCAGTGCGGCAGAGTGGACTGCAAGTAATCGCAGGACACTTTGGAGAGTGCACAAAAGTGCCAGAGTTAATATTTACAAAACATTAGGGCTTCAACTGCACAGCCTGTGGGAAGGTGAGCAGGCTGCAGCGTCCTTCCCAGTTGTCTCAGTTGGTCTAAATCTCTTCTGAAAGACCCCCGAAGGTAGTCTTCCCTCTGGAGAGACCCTCGCCCAGAGATCACACCGAGACCACAAGTCAGATGCAAACAGCAAGAGGCTTTATTCAGGAACACGGGTACCCGGGGCGACACAGTCCCTCCAGAGGCTGAAGAGACTGGCGGCCCACGGGCTGGAGTGGAGGGTTTTTATAGGGTTGGGCAGCGGAAGGGCGGGTACAGAAGCAGGAAGCAGTTTACAGGGTTCTGATTGGACGATTCGTATGAGGCCAGGTTCAAACTCAGGACAGCTCGTGGTTTTTCCCCGAGCTCGACACGCCTGCTGACTTGGCTCTTATCCAGGGTACAAGTTGTTTTTCTGACCTTTAGTTCCCTGTTCTGGGGCCAGGTGGCCGACCGCAGACACCCCGCTCGTTCCTGCGCCCATGTCCTCCAACTGAACCCTCCCCGTACTCCTCAGGCCCTGCTCAAAATGGCGTCAGGCCAAGCAAGCATGCTGGGGCCCCTCAGCACCACCCCAGAAGAGTCCCGGGGTCCCGGCCTGCACCTCCCTGCAGGGCTCCCCAGTCCTCAGGCCGCGCCACCCCCACAGGGTCCCCGAGTCCCCAAGCTGCGCCACCCCGGGGGTACCCGGGCCCCAGTCTGCACTGCCCGGAGGGTCCCCGGCCCTTGGCCTGCTCCACCACGCAGGGTCCCCGGCTCTTGGCCTGCTCCATCCCGCAGGGCCCCGGGCGCCCGGGTCGCGGCCCGCACCACCCTCGCCAGCGGCGGCACCGGGCGCTGGCGCCGGGCAGCGGCGCCAATCGGGCTCGAGGACACGGCGGGCCCGGGTTGGGAGCCTGCGGTCTCCGCCCGCCGCGCTACGACGCGGGGCCCGGGCGCGCGGGCCGCTGCGGGGCGCGCATGGCTGGCGCGGGGACGGAGATGCGGCCCGGCCTGCGCTGCCCGCGGCTCCGCTCCTGGCGGCCTTTCACTTCCAGGTTTCTGCTTTGTTCAGGCAGCTCAGCCTCACCTGTCTGAGAGGGGCTTTCAGCTTTTATTGTTTAGTCTGGCAGGGAGGGGGTGTTGTGTGATATTTTAATTGTGTTCTGACAAATGAAGCTTGCTTGGAGTCAGAGGGTGGGGCCAGCCGCTAGCCGACCAAAATTAACCATAGAGGTTTGGAGGGCTGTAGAGAGAGGAGACAGGAGGTGGTAAGGCGGGGCAGAGAGGATCTCGACCCTTTTGGTCGGAGGAACCACAGAAGTAGGAAGTGACTGTGGCTGCTCCCCTGCTTCTCTGATTTTTCAGGTTTTTACCCTGAAAAACAAACAAACAAACAAACAAAAACATTAGGGCTAGCCGGGCGGTGGTGCGAATCTCCGTGGGTGGAGGCCAGCCTGGTCTACAGAGCTAGTTCCAGGACAGCTAGGGCCGTTACACAGAGAAACCCCTTCTCAAAAAACCTAAGGAGGGCTGGAGAGATGTCTCAGAGGTTAAAAGCACTGGCTATTCTTCCAGGGGTCCTGATTTCTTTTCCCGGCAACCACATGGTGGCTCACAACCACCTGTAATGAGATCTGGTGCCCTCTTCTGGCGGGCAGCGATACACGCAGTTAGAACATTATACATAATAAACAAATCTTAAAAAAAAAAAAGAAAAGAAAAAGAAAAACCAAAGGAAAAAAAAGAAAGAAAGAAAAATATGAGGGCTAATAATTCACTCCCCTTCATTGCCCATTGGGAGCGGGGTTTTAAGATAGGGTAAGAGTCAAGTTGTGGCACATTTTTGTAATCGGTACTTGGGAGGCTGAGCCAGAGGGATGGTAAAAACTCCACTTAAAAATAGATACACTAGGAGTTGGAGAGATGGCTCAGTGATTAAGAGCACTGACTGCTCTTCCAGAGGACCCAGGTTCAATTCCCAGCACCCATATGGCAGCTCACAACTGTCTGTAACTCCAGTTCCAAGGGCTCCAACACTGTCACACAGGCAAAACACCAATTCACATAAAATAAAAAATTAAAAAAAAAATAGATACACTAAGAGGCTGGGGTGTAGCAGTGGCAGAAGAGAGATTTTGCATGCCAGTACCCTACGAAAAGAAGAGCTGGGTCTGCTAGTGTAGGTCTGTAATCACAGATACTCTGGAGAGACCGAGGCAGGATAAACCTTGAATGCCATCTTGGGAAACTTAATGAGACCCTGTCTAAAAATTAAATAGAGAGGGCTTCTGGGATTGTAGCTCAGAGGTAGAGCGTTTGTCAAACATGTGAGACCCTAAGTCCAATTCCTGGGGCACTGGAGGGCTGGTGAGATGGGCTGTGGTCCACCAAGTGAGCAAGGGCCCTTACAGCAAAGTCTGATGACCTGAGTTGGATCCACAAGACCCACGTGATGGAAGAAGAGTTGTGCTGAGATTCATGTATATACTATGGAATTCAAGTATTCCCCACCTCAAATTTAAAAGAAAAAATAGAAGAAAAAAACATCCCATTTATCTGTTTATCTATCTATCTATCTATCTATCTATCTATCTATCTATCTATCTATCTATCTATCGACAAGTTTTCAGCGTGTAACAGCCCTGGCTGTCCTGGAACTTAATTTGTAGACCAGGCTGGTCTGGAACTCAGAGACTCACTTGCGGGTAAAAGCATGAGCCGCCACGCCCAGCTTGAGAAAAACATTTAAAAAGAGGAATGTTATCCTGCTGTGCTGGGTAAAGAGGAAGTGCATGGAAACTCCTGAAGGTGAGCTCGGCAACCATGGTCTCTGGACGACCGGCCCACAGGCAGTGGCCACGTCACATCTATTGTTTGTTGGTCTCCAGCTAGCTCCCCCCCACCTTCCCCAAAGGTGCACGTTTGTCACTTATTTCTAAGAATTAACCCAGAACCTTTGCTTCTCAGATTTCATTTTAGTCTAAACTGAGAATGGGGTTCTATGCAAAATGCAGTCAATACAAGTTGTCAATACAAGAGTCAATACTCTTGGCCATGAGGGGTTCTCTGTGAAATAGGTGAGCACATAAGGGACAGAATGATTGAGTGCCCTTGATATACAAATGAACAAATCTGTAATCACCAGAGAGATGGCTGTATCATTTGCTAGCATTTGGAACAAAAAACCAAAGCAAAACAAAAACTAGCAAGCAAACAAACAAAAAAACTCCGTAGCAAGCACTAAGGCTCTCTTTCCCTTGGCACAGGGTTCAATCCTTGTCTTAACTGACTCAGCCTGACAATGTGGCCCAGTAGCTTCTACAGAAAAGACACAGCTAAGTAATTTCCAATGCAACTAAGAATGGTGAGCTGGGAGCAGTGTCCAGGGCAGGCAGAATGTCATGGAACTGGGCGTCAGTGATGCTACAGCGCTTTAGGTCCAGGGTCTGCAGACTGCCTGCCACATTCTCTAGGAGAGCTCTGGGATGTTCGGGACTGAACTCCTCCATGCAGATATCGCTATGAAACCTGTGCTTGAGCTGACTGGTGCTCAGACACTCACAAAGATGCTTCAAGTCTGATTCCATCAGTAAGTAGCCTGAACTTCTACCAGAGGGTATCTAAGGAGGTGCTACTCCTGAGGAGAGGGCAGAGTGATGTGTGGCCAATGGGAGTGGTCTGGAGCACACAGGCAGGGAGTAACCTTGTAGTCCAAGGTCATTCCATCCCTATGAAGGTCACCACCTAGGATGCTGCATTACATAGACTCTTCATTCTAATAGCCCTATTCTGGGCCAAGACCTGCCACCATCACTCCAGGGTGACTCAGGACACAGCTGTATATTCTTTCCATAGTAGTAGAACCACAGTCTTGGACAGAGGTCAGCAGAACCTTAGAAGGACCAATAAGGCAGCATCAAGCAATATCCACGAGAGGTTGCCTACTCTCCCTCAGCACAGATTTCTCTCTTGGCACTTTTCACCTTGGCCACTCACTCTTAGCTCCAGTATCACACGCTTCCCATCTACTCAGCCCCTACCTACGCTCCCAACAACCTTTCACACAGCTGCTGAGCAAGGGCACACCCGGGGAACCCTGTAGATGTGAGTCCACTGGTCTATCTGTGCCTTCTTCCTGTTCCTTTCTCCTTGAGGGGAAATCCCAACAGCCCTCCCACAGCATTTCACAGCTGTAAATCACAGCTGGCTTTTCCCACAGCATCTGGACCCTCTGGTTTGACAGGGGTCATTCTGGGAGACTTTAGGACTGCATTGACTTCCCAGTCATCCTCAGCTGTACCAGTCCAGCACCCAGAGCATGGCAGAGACTCATCTCTATTTACTGTAAGCCAGAAGGGCTTAGCTCTGGGTGGATGGCTAACTCTCCACCCACATTCACCTCAGTATCTTGTACAGTTTGCCTTTCTGAGGGGGTTCCTGCAGTTGTCATACAGTTGTGGGGGTTGGGGGTTGGGAGTATCCCTGCAGGTTCGAAGAGATAAGAATGAAAACCTGATGCAGATTGACTTTGTCAACCTGGATCAGAGTTCTGAGAATCTAATAACAGGCAGTTTATCCCCAATACGATTTGAAAACAGGAGTTTCCTGGTGTAATACAATCCCCAGTGCACAAAGAAGCATAATTACATTGAAACTCAACTCAGGGCACATGTCATTCCCTCCAAGAAGATGCGTTCTAGAGATGTGATACCTATACTAGCTTAAGGGCCTTAGGGTCTGTCCTGGTCTCCCTCATACAGATAGCACGGAGGTCAT